AAGATAATAGTCTAGAAATATGTATTAATGCTTCTTTTATCATTTTATAAAATAACATTGCATATTTCCACATATTTCATAATATTTCCACAATGTCTCTAATTTTTACAATATTTCCCCTCGACATTTCCGACATATGTCCTATATTTTGGTAAGCGACATTTCCATCAACATCGACATTTTAAACCTTGGTTGGGGTAAGAATGAGAAGACAACCAGATTTCAAATTGCTATTTATTCTGTCATCCAAGAGGAAGTTGTAAGAATATAGACAAAAGGAGCAAGAAATATGCAAGGGCGTTATTTCATCTAGTCCAATGGGAGAGGGTGTGTGGGGAGACAAAAACCCATTGGGTGAGGATGTTCAGGCTACCTATACATGAGCCTAAGGGTATTGGATAAGACAAGGCCATCAGGAAGGGATAAAGATCCCTGGCCAGCAATGGTGGATAGAGACCCATCAGCAAGTCTCACTTTATCCCTTCTAGAGAGAAGAGTGTAGGTCTGAAAAAGATTGGACTTACCAGTCATATGGTTTGATGATCCTGAGTCAATGACCCAAGGTGACTCGGGAGCAGAGGTACACACATGAAATGCAAAAGCACCTTTACCTGATGTAGAAGCGAATGAGGTAGAAGGTATAGGAACCGACCTATCTATTTGCCCGAGTGTCCTACCATACAATTCCAAATGATCTCTAAAGGAGTTGATGATGTCTTCCTTGGGATCAGAACCACTAGGATGTTCTTAGGTAAACACAATAGTCTGATTATTTTGCTGATAGTCTTGTGTGGCCAGATTTGCAGAAGTAAATTTCTTCTGAGGAGGCTTCTTTGAAATGTCTTGATTTTTGGTTGCTCACTTGGGCTTCCCCACTAACTCCYAACAGGTTTCTCGAGTGTGTCTAGGCTTTTGGCAGTGAGTACACCACATTGTCTTTATCTTTACCTTTCTTCGGTTCCCCCTTTTTCATTCCTATGTTACCCCCTCTTGCAGCTAGGGCAACAAATTGCTCCCCCTCACAAACATTCATGAGATTTTTTCTGCTCTCTTCAGATTGGATTAGAGCATATACTTCCTAAACTGAAGGAAGTTCCCTACTTCCCAAAATTTGCACCAAGAGAGGCTCATAAGCCGGATTCAACCCATGCAAGAAAGCAAAAACCCGCTGTTGGGAGACAAGTTTTTTATAGTCCTTTGCATCTTCATCATTCCTATAGTCAATGGTCTGATAATAGTCCAGTTCCTTCCAGACAAATGTAAGGGCTGAGTAGTATGTAGATAGGCTATGGTCCCCTTGCTTACATGTAGATGATTATGCTTGAAGTTGATAAATCTTGGCAAAGTTCCTCTGATCAGAATAGGTTGCCTTGGCTTGTTCCCAAATTTCATAGGTTGTGTCAGCCCATATGAAATTTTTCCTTACATGAGGTAACTTGGAGCCTAACCATGTTGTTTTCTTGATCCCATCGATCATGTTCAGCAGTACCAGACTTTGGTTCTTTTATTTTTCCACTTATATAACCAGCCTTCCCCCTAGCTGTAACATAAAGTTTGATGCCTTTGGACCATTCCAGATAGTTCAGACCATCAAAGGGGGTAATAGACAGAGAAATTCAGGCCGTCCATCCCCCCATTTAAGTTTCCTTGCTGGGAAGTAATACTAGAGGTTGCTGAATCCTCAGTAGCCATTTTCACAGAAAATCTACTGCTGTTTTTTTCAAAAACCGAATCTGATATAGAGGGTTTTGTCTAAAAAAAAAAAATAGGAGCCTCCAAAGAATGGTTAACAGTACTGTAGGTAATAACTCTTAGTTGAAACACCTCGGTTTACAGGAGGAGACCACCAGCCCCTACAATCCTCAAAACTGTGACATTCACAGTGGTCAAAGGTTTACATATGAATGTAACAGTGCATACCTGTCTTCCACGACCCACAGCACATAGAAAAACCCTCAGAAAATCAAGTTCTGGTGCATTTGGCTGCCACCACAAACCCAGAAGACACCTTACTGCGTTCGGTTGCCACAACAAATCTAGAAAGATCTCATTCGGTTGCCACCACAGATCTGGAGAGATCTTTTACTGCACTTGGCTGCCACCACACCCTTCTCCTTGGTACAGCAACCAAGAGAGAAGAAAGAAAAAAAATCAGGGACTGAAGGTTGCGCCCAGAAGAAGAAACCACGATCTGAGAAAAAATAGATTTCCAGAAAAGGAAAGAAATCATGATCCGAGAAGAGAAGCTTGCGCCCAGATCAGAGATGCTCTGATACCATGTAGTTCGACAGAGAAGAGAGAAGAGAGAAAAGAGAAGAATGTATTCTGAATACTAGAGCTGGAGGCGCCTAAGTTAGTATTTATACTTAGGGCAACAGCTCATAAGAAATACAAGAGGAAAGGGCAGAAATGCCCCTACTAGGCCACAGGCCACTACACATTACAACAGGTATGAGTGAGAACACATTGCATTGATTTGGTGCCATACTATCTTAGTATGCATTTACCAATTTGGCACCAAATGGTACCCACCCATCCTAGTATTGTTCTCATCAACAATGACATAATAATGTCACTTATTATGTGCTCACCTTCTCCTTACTTTCCATTGGCAACAAGGGGCTATATTTGCCAACTTGATAAAACTTTACCAAGTTGGGACTAAGGGGCTAATTAGAAATGCGAGGACATGTGAAAGCCAATAACAAATGTTTAATTTTGTTTAATATTGAATCAAAGATATATTAGACATAATTGTGTTAGTTACACTTTGATTGCCCTCCCATAATGGTCGTATATGACGTAAGTGTCATCCTGGTAAAATTTACTAAGATGGGCCCAAGATGTTGGCTAAATTTATTGGGGAGGTCATGACCATCGTCACTTGGATAGTATGTTTCATGGCAATTAACTCAAGGACAACAACATAATAGTGTTGATTATTGTGTTCACCTCTCCTTAATG